AAAATTAAATAACATTTAGAAAAGGTGGAATTCAACACCTAAAGTCCCCCCTGCCTACTCGTACTGCTGCTTTATCCGGTTTAAGCAAATACATTAACTTCTTAGAGATTCCAAAATCTTCACTTTTTTTTTTTTAATATCCAGATAAGAGAAGCCTTGAAGTGTCGAGTAACCCCTGCAAAATGGATCTCCAGATTATCAGAGGTAACATTTTTGTAGTAATTTTTTTTAATTAAAAATCTGGCATAATTAAAACTGTTGGCATTTGGGGCATATGGAATGCTCTTGAAAAATACCACCTTAATGTTTTGTGCTGTGAGTTTTCAGAAGTAAGGAGGGAAAGAGTGTCTCCCTGACCTCTTCCTATACAGAGTAGGGGGCCAATCTATAGAAATAAAAGTTGACTTAGATTTAAAAGTGGGTAACAAGATAGTGGAAGAGGAGGAGGAATTACAAACATCATACAAGCAGGTGATGACGGAATAAAAGAAAATGAGGAACCCCAGGATCCCACAATAGCTCGTTTATCCTTTGTGATTCCAAGTGGTTATGTCACATTCAAAGGGTAAAAATTCTTGGGGGGAAAATGGTGGATGATTGTACAAAGAGAGCTTTCCAATATTTTTATTTGCAAGTGGGAAAATAGTTATAGTTTTTAGAGTCATCTATGTAGGTGAGGGATCTCTTGAGATCAGTTAGAATGTTCAGGAGAGAAGGCTAGACCATTCATTATATGTCCTATCTTCTACTCCTGTAATTCAGAAATAATTTACTCTTATGTAAGGACTAGCTATTCTGTTGTTGTTGTTGTTGCTATGTGCTGTCACGTCATCTGCAACCCTTAGCGACCCTGTGTAAACAGCTCTGAAGCCTGTTCTGAGCCAGTCTTACTGACTCTGACACACCTACTCCCATTGCCCTAGTTACTGTGTCAATCCATTTCATCTGGGGTCGTCTTCTTCTTCGCTGTCCTTTCACCCTACCGAGCATGATGTCCTCCAAGGACCAATCCCTCCTGACCATGTGCCCAAAGTATGTGAGATGGAGCTTTAAAATCCTAGCCTTCAAGAAGAAACTTGGTTTCACCCTCTCCAGTATAGACCTGCTTGTTTTCTTGGCAGTCCATGATATATTCAAGACTCTTCTCTAGTGATATAAAAATGAACAGTTGATAAAAGACAGTACAGGGTTGGCACAAGAAAAACACCCAGCAATGAGATAAGTGGTGATCTGGACTTTCCCAGGCCAACATCTGAAAAGATTAGACTCATGTTGCAGAAGGGTGCTCTGGTGGTCTAATGGGTAAGGGGTCAGGCTGCCAGCCCAGAGGCAGGTGGTTCAAATCTGCTCCAAATGAGAAATATGGGCAATCTCCTTCCATACAGTTTGCAGCTTCTGAAAACCCAGTGAGTTAGTTCCGACTCCACAGAAACGAGCCTTTTTCCCCTTTCTTTCTTTTTTTTTTTGAGTGTTGCAGGAGATCTGGGTGAAGAGTCATGAAAGATCATTTGGTGCTGCACATTCTGCAGCTTGAGTTACTACATTGATCTCCCTCTATTCTCCTTGCTTTGCTGTTTCCTTTGTCTTTACTTACCTCTGCTTTCATCTATTTCTTTTTTTCTTTCATGATCCTAGAGTCTCTATACCTGTGAAGTTACTACCTCTCTAAATCCCTCTCAGCTGAAAAAAAAAAAAGGACCAAGGTTCATTGAAAACTGAAATCAATAATTATGTAAAGGTATTATTTTCAGCAATGGCTGCATGTTGGAATTCACAGAGAAGTGTAATCAAAATATTATTACGTAGGCTCCACACTGTCAATCTTGCTGAATGGGAATGGTGACCTCAGTCTTGCAAATTTTTAAAAAATTCCCCAGTGAAGATTGAGAATCACGGACCTAAAACCTTCTTGAACTATCTTAGCGGTGTAGCTGTCACCTCCTACCTGACGTGAGCATCTACTGACTGTCTCATTCAGGGCTGCTGAGTCATTCTCAGGAGAGAGTAACTCCTTTTGAACCTTTAATTTTAACATTTCTCCTCTTCTCTGTGTTTTTAATATTGAACCATTTAGGCCACCATAGGGAAATTCAACTCTTCAGTGCTATGGACAAATCATCATTCTCCCCATTTCTCTTTGCTTCTGTTTTGTTTTGTGTTGTATGAAAGGTCTAATTTATGCCTAGCATATTATTATCAGTGGTTGGTTGCTGGAGCCATTGGTTTCCCAATTTGGCTTCACACTGGGTCACCTAAAGTTGATAAAATTATCACTGTCTAGGCCCCACCTTAGAAACACTAAATAAGCAATTCTTGGTGTTGGCACCTTGGTATTTTTAAAACTTTGCAAAGATTCTGGTGTGCTGCCAGGTTCAGGTGGTAGGCAATTGTATACTAACTTTCTGCCATTCTACCTTTTTTGCCTTCAAGCCACTGCCTGCTGTCTACAGCTTAGTCACTGAGCCGCTATATTCTTAGGGTCTGCATGAGTTCTAGTCGACTGGATGGAACCTAACAACAGTCTGAGGGTGTAGGAAGGAACAAGAACTGTCCTCTCCTCTCCTGGCTTTTTAGGTGTCTGGTCCCCAGGTAGTAATCTTTTGCTGTGCTGATCTTCTGACGCCTGCTAGTGACTGTCAGGTTCGTGCTCAAGTCATGGCAGCTGCCTGCACAACAGAGCAAAATGCTAGCTGCTCCATCGTGTGCTGTGGTTTGGACTTTTGGAGTTTATGGGATTGCCACTGGTTGAATTTTGGGTATAGATCACCAGGCCTTTCTTTCTTGTCTGTTTTAGTCTAGAAAGCTCTGTTGAAACTTGTTCAACATCATCACAACATGCACCCCTCCTTTGACAGATTGCTGGTTGTGTGTGAGGTACTTACTCTGTCTGGTTGGGAAGTGAATCTGGGTTTCCTCCATGAAAAGTGAGAATTCTACCAATGAACCACAAATGTTCCAAAGTAATCTCCCATTGAGACTTACCACTGTCCTCTCCTTGTGTCTGTTTGGGTAGCTTCTGTCCCGGCTCACTCACCCCAGGGTTATAAATGTGTGTGTCTTTGTTCCCTTCATATCTGACTTGGTGAGCTGGTCTGTGCTCAGGTGCTAATGATTCTACCAGTGAGTTTAAGAATTAGCAATCTTTAGAAACACATGGTCTTTTGGGCTAAAGCACAATGACATTATGGGCTCAGGAACATTGGAAAAGAATGGAGATGTTCACAGACTGGATGAGAAGGACGGACCTCTGGCAGCCTGGCAGGTGGAGAGTTCCATTGCCATTGCAAAGGCAGGCATTTAGATTCACCTGGTGCTCCATAGGAGAAAGGCAGTCTCATCTTGGGCAATTTCTAGCCACTGCAAACCTGCTGGACAGTCCACTGAGTCATCTTTCACTCAACGGCAGTGAGGTTTTTGGGTTTTTTGGGTGTGTTGTTTTTTTTATTTTTTTAGATGAGGCACTATTTGATGGCCAGCAGCTGTCCTAGTGTTTCCCAGCTGCCCCTCTCCTAGGAACCCCTCAGGAGAGTGGTGTATCCACGTGGGGAGGAGGCGATCAATTTCTGACACCTGCCTGCTCCTACGCTCTTAGTGGTTCTAAACTAAGGAAGGAGAGGGATACGACACATTTCCATGGTTACAATGTCCAATGAGCTTTGAATATTTCTAAAAACAGAAAATGGAGTAATAATGATATGTGTATGTTTACTTTCTTCTTCAACAGAACATTTCATCTGATTTCTCTCGTCATCCCACCAAAGGACCGAGCTAACAAACTGGACTACACACCTAACTTGGGAGGTGCGTGCAAAGCAAGGAGGTTCTTAGAGGCAACTTAGACACCTGGCATTTCTTTTTTTTTTTATCTTTTTTTAAATTGAAATTTTAATGAAAGTTTATAAAGAACTGGGATTTCCATTCATTCATTGTTATACATTTTCCTCACTGTCCCCCTAGTTCACCTTTTTTTGTTTTTTTAAAAAAAGTTCCTTCGTTGTTATATCCCTCCCCCTCCCATCCCAGACCACTTTACTATGCAGCTCTTATTCTGGGCTCTTGTTATGCAGATAATACCTAATCATATATTCCTTTTATACAGTTCTCTCCCATGTCTTTTAAATATCACATGTTGATTCATTATAATTAGAAGTGATTCCCCCTCCCTTGATTCTGCATCTACAATATAGTATCATCTAATTATGGCTAGAGATGTGTTTATCTTTCCAATTCTTGAGCTACTGCTGTAAAGCAATCATGCATGCCTGAGAATTAGCCAACTAGTTGTTGTGGAGTTGATTCTGGTGCATGGCAACTCCATGTATGTCAGAGAACTCAGGTTTTCATTGACTGGTGTTTCAGTAGATCACCCAGCTGTCTTCCCCATGGTATCCACCTAGAATTGATTCTCTAACATTTTATCTAGTACTTAAGCAAGATAGCTGTTTGTCTTACTTGAGACTTTGCTTCCAAATAATCCTGGGAGTGCTTAAAAGAGGAAAAAGCAGAGGTGCCAGCTCTGCTGAGGTATTCCCTTCTTGCCTCTCCTTTCTGGTTACATATTCCTTGGACCCTGGACACATCAGCAATGTCCTCACATTCCCCATTGTTGCAAAAAAATCAGGAAAATATGGTTTTTGAGAAGCCTTTTTATTGTTGTTGTTGTGTGCCATCAAGTTGCTTGGACTCACAGCAACCCTATGTACAAAAGCCCTGAACCCTGCTCTATCATGAGCCAATGTTATTGCCTCTGACACACCTACCCTCATTACCCTAGTCACTGAATCAATCCATCTCATCCAGGGTCTTCCTTTTTGTGCTATCCCTCCACCCTCCCAAGATGATATTCCTCTCTAAGGACTTGTCACTCCTTGCAACATGCCCAAAGATGAAGCCTCAGAATCCTTGCCTCCAAGGAGCATCCTGGTTTCACCCTCTCAAGGTTGAACCTGTTTGTTCTCATGGCAGTCCATGATATATTCAATACTCTTTTCTAGCACCACAGCTCAAAGGCATCAATTCTTTTTCTAGCATCCCTAGTCATGTCCAGCTTTCTGACACATAGCAAGTAATTACAAAAATTATGGCCTGGATCAGGTGCACATTAATCTCTGGACTGATATCATTGCTCTTCAGTACTCTGGAAAGGTCTTTGACAGCAGGCTTTCTCAGTGCAATTTATTTTTTTATTTCCTCACTGCTGGTACAAAGATTGTTGATTGTGGGGCCTTAGGGATATTATAAATATGTTTTAGCACTCAATATAGTTTGCTGAGAGAAACACAGAGAAATAGAATTAGGGAAGAAAAAGCAGCAGAGGGGATAGAAATGTAGAAATATACAGAAAAGGGGTCTTAAAGATACAAAGTTGGGAAAATGCCACTTAGGTATAAGAATGTGTGCAACACACCTTTCATTCCATGTCCTGATGCTCTTCTGAATCTATGAAGAGATGACAGATTAAGAGTTAGCCACTGTGAAACACCCCCAATTCACAGAGGGCATCATCCAGAGAGGGGCTGGGAGGAATACAGAAAAACCTAGAGGAAGATAAAAACCAACAGGCTCAGCAATGGAGTCTTCTACAAAGACACAAGCAGAGAAACTGAGAAAGATACAGTGAGAGAGAAGCATTGAGGATGAAACAAAAATTAGTTGCTGTTGAGCCGACCAACATACGGTGGTGACTACATGTGTGCCAGAGCCAAGCTGTGCTCCAGAAGGTTTTCAGTCATTCATTTTTACAGAAGTAGCTTGTCAGTCCCTTCTTTCAAAGAGCCTCTGGGTTGGCTCAAACCTCCAACCTTTCCATTAGCATCTGCCTGTTGACTGATTGCTTTATTCAGTTGCTCAGAGGTGTAAGTTGAGCCAAAGAGAGGTGTCTTCCCTCTTTTCACTGAGGTATACTGCTCTTTGATGGAAACCTTTTGCAGTAGTTCATGGTCTTGTTCATAGAAACAGGCCTTTTCTAAAAGGTTTTAAACTTGAAAAGAAATGGTTCAGCTTAGAGAAGGAAATGGTTCTAACTCGGGATTTGTAAGCAATAGATTCCAGAATGGCTTAAAGTGAAGAGACTCCTCACCCCAGTCAGAATAGCAAAATTTAACAGAACAGCAAGCAACAAATGCTGGTGAGGTTGTGGAGAAACCAGAACCCTTATTCACTGTTGGTGGGAGTGTAAAATGGTGCAACCACTGTGGAAGGCAGTATGGCGTTTTCAAAAAAAGTTGCAAATAGCAATACCATTTGACCCAGCAATTTCAATACTGGGAACTTACTCCAAAGAGACCACAACTGACATCCAAGCAGATATATGCACACCCATGTTTATCATGGCTTTGTTCACAATAGCAAGGAGTTGAAAACAACTTAAGTGCCCATCAACAAACAAATGGAGAGAGAAGCTGTGGTATATTCACACAATGGAATACTATGCTGCATTGAAAAACAAGGAACTCATGCAATATTATTCAAAATAGGTGACCCTCGAGGACGAGTGAAGAATCTCAGTCACAAAAAGACAAATACTGCATGGTGCCACTGTTGTAAAATAGGACTGACATCAGGGTTAGGGGGAGACTGAGAAAGATGGGTTCGAAGAAAACTGTTTAAAAGGGATATGTGATTAGGTATTTTTGTCATGACAGGAGTCCAGAGCAAAGGCTGCATAGTGGAGTGGATATGGAGGGAGGGATTGTAAATCAATGAAAGAATTTTCTTTTACTTTTCCAAGAGGGTAGTGTACTGGGGGAAAGCGTTGGGAGGGGAGAAAAGTGCAACAATGAATGAATGGAAATCCAAAGTCTCTGTAAATTTTCATTGAAATTAATAATATATTTTTAAAAAAGTGAAGAGACTCTCCTTCTGCTAGGGAAGTGCTGCCAAAAAGAATAATTACTGCTCTTTTGAGGAAAAAGTGAGCTTAGAATGCAGTTTCTGTGAGGTGTTTGCTACTTGCTATTAAAGCTGTGATGCTCTGTTCTTCACTAGGTTGTACATTCCAGGAGTGGAGAAATTCCGGTGAGGAGAAATGTGCATAGCCCTGTCTTCTTGCTGGTGGAGCATATGAAGGAAGTCTCTCACATTTCAGCACTGATGAAGGAGATGGTACAGTGAGGAACGATAGGAAGACCCTTGTTGAAGCTCTTCTGTGCTGTCAAGCATTTCTCCACCAATCAACAGTCACCACACACACTACCGGCCACCCACAGGGAATGGAAAGTGGTTCACAGTCGCAATGGGGTCTGTCAGAGCATCCAGCTCTCTGATGCTGGGTCATACTCCTCAGGAAGAGAGCTCTGGCTCATCCTGACAAAGGCGCTCCAAAAAGTCACCTGGCTGGATTCTAGGTTGCAGAGGGAGGAGCCCTCTTGCATAGTCACCGATAATTGATAATTGGGCTGACCTTAAGTAGGTCATTGCTGATTCCTTTCATGAAAGTAAGCCGACTTTCAGCACATCCCACCCTTTCAACTTTGAGTAGGTTGGATGGTCAGTCATTGCAGTGCAAAGGCAACTTTTTTGACCATGATCCAAGTGAAAAGAATCAATTGTAGAGAACCAGGAGTGTGCTCACATTAAGTGGAGGAGACTGAAGGCTGGAATGGTGGGTCACAGATCTTTGAAGGTGAGGCCATAGGTGGAAACTCAAGTCTCCTTGTTTCCAGCCCTCCACTTTCCCCCTAAGACCACCGAGACACTGACTCCTAAGCTGCTGAGTAGCTTTCGGGTCTGACAGTGTATGGCCAGTGTGTGATCAATCCTCACCACCACTATGAACCATATTAAGATAGTTGAGGATTAGGAAGGAGAAAAAGATCATATTTCAAGTAGAGGGTGGCTCATTTTCCTAACAGTGTATGTAAACAAATTCAGCATATTCAAACCGGGGGCTTTCTGAAAGGGAAAGATTACCGGTAGAAAGCCTAAAAAAAAAATTACTAAAAAGAAGCCCTCCTTTCAAAACAAGTACATAAGTTATTGCTGCAGAAGAAAATTAGTGGGGGAATAGACATCATCTAATTATTCTTAAAGATTAAATATTAAAGATGTTACATTACAGATGAGGAAGTAAGACACGCTCTGTGAATTTGGAGAGTCTCAATCTTCCTCTCTTTCTTTTAATTCTACAAAAAGGTCTATAAGAAGTAGGGAAGTTTGAAGAGGCCCAAGTGTAATACAATGTCAACCAGAAGGTAGGAAAATGCTACAACCTGGGTAACAACTCACCTTTATAGTGTTAATACTCCTCAGGGACAATAGCACATCTTTCTCACTTGAAGACAGAAGAAAAGGGTTTTAATTTTCTTTAAAGCAAGGGAGTGGGACAAACATGTTTTAGTGAATGCAGAGATTTAAATACAAAGCAACATCATTTACCATTGTCAATATATTGAAGTAAGGATGGAATTGCATGAGACTAATTATAGGACAATCCATCTGAAAATTTTTTTGAAAGAACTGAGTCAACTGCTTAGATTTATAAATGAGAATTCTGAACATGAGGAAGAAAGGGAGAAGTTAAGCTTTCATTTGTATTGCTGTTTCAACAGTCGTCACATCTAATAAAGAAACACAGTTTTCTGAGAAAAGATGGCCAGAAAGACTTTACCTTTTGCTTACATTACCCATGGAGGGGCCAGGAATGCTAACAAAGGATCTTGGAATTATTTCGGGATGCCTAGAGGAAGCCTCTGGTCATAGGGCGACGTCACAACAGCAGTCTGGATTATCCTGGAGGATGCCAAGGAACTGCATGGATTAGCTTCACCCCAGTGACCCTGTGAGGTGACGCATTTAGCATCTGGTCACAGAGCACAAGGGAGCGTACTTGAAAGGAAAT